TCCGCCCTGGCCTCTAAGGCCACCGGATACCCTCTTGCCTTTATTGCTGCCAAGTTGGGTCTTGGTATCCCCCTGAACGAGATTAAGAACTCGGTGACCCAGTCCACTTGCGCCTGCTTCGAACCCTCTCTTGACTACTGCGTGGTCAAGATCCCTCGTTGGGATCTGAAGAAGTTCACTCGCGTGTCTACTCAACTGGGTTCTTCGATGAAGAGTGTCGGTGAAGTTATGAGCATTGGCCGGACCTTCGAGGAAGCTATCCAGAAGGCTATTCGCATGGTTGATTTCCACAATCTGGGTTTCAACGAGTCCGATGCTCTTATGTCTATTAAGGGCGAGCTACAGACTCCCTCGGACCAGCGTCTGTTTGCCATTGCTAATGCTATGGCTGCCGGTTACACTGTTGATGATATCTGGAAGCTCACCAACATTGACAAGTGGTTCCTTAGCCGTCTTAAGGGCCTCAGCGACTTCGGCAAGTCTATGTCCACCTTTAATGCTACTTCCGTGCCTATGTCTATGGTTCGCCAGGCCAAGCAGCTCGGTTTCTGCGATCGCCAGCTTGCCAACTTCTTGGACTCCAACGAGCTCGCTGTGCGCCGTATGCGTGTTGAGGCTGGCATCACCCCTATTGTCAAGCAGATTGATACCGTTGCCGCTGAGTTCCCAGCTTTCACCAACTACCTCTACCTTACCTACAATGCTTCCCAGCATGATCTGTCTTTCGACGATCACGGTACTATGGTTCTGGGCTCGGGTGTCTACCGTATCGGTTCCTCGGTCGAATTTGATTGGTGTTCCGTGCGTACTATCCGTACGCTCCGCGAGCAGGGTCACAAGACTATTATGGTCAACTACAACCCGGAGACTGTTAGTACTGATTACGATGAGGCTGATCGCCTTTACTTCGAGAATATCAACCTGGAGACTGTTCTGGATATCTACCAACTGGAGAATTCCAGCGGTGTGATCATGTCTATGGGTGGTCAGACCCCTAACAACATCGCTCTGCCTCTCCACCGCCTCAATGTTAACATCTTGGGTACATCTCCCGAGATGATTGATGGTGCTGAGAACCGCTACAAGTTCTCTCGCATGTTGGATCGTATCGAGGTTGACCAGCCCGCTTGGAAGGAGCTGACTAGCATTGACGAAGCCCGCGGTTTCTGCGAGAAGGTCGGCTACCCCGTGCTGGTCCGTCCCTCATACGTGCTCTCTGGTGCTGCCATGAACACTGTCTATTCTGAGCACGATCTGGCCAGCTACTTGAATCAGGCCGTCGATGTCTCGCGTGAGCATCCTGTTGTTATCACCAAGTACATCGAAAACGCCAAGGAAATTGAGATGGACGCTGTTGCCCGTAACGGTGTTATGGTTGGCCACTTCATCTCCGAGCACGTTGAAAACGCTGGTGTCCACTCTGGCGACGCTACTCTGATTTTGCCTCCCCAGGATCTGAGCCCAGAGACCGTCCGTCGCATCGAGGAGGCTACCCGGAAGATCGGCAATGCCCTGAACGTTACTGGTCCTTACAACATTCAGTTCATTGCCAAAGATAACGACATCAAGGTCATTGAGTGCAATGTTCGTGCCTCGCGGTCTTTCCCCTTCGTGTCCAAGGTCATGGGTGTCGACTTGATCGAGATGGCCACCAAGGCCATGATTGGAATTCCATTCCAGGAGTACCCCCCTGTGGCAGTCCCCAAGGACTATGTCGGTGTCAAGGTCCCCCAGTTCTCGTTCTCGCGTCTTTCCGGTGCCGACCCCGTCCTGGGTGTCGAGATGGCCTCCACTGGCGAGGTCGCCTCGTTCGGTCGTGACAAGTACGAGGCCTACCTAAAGGCTCTCTTGTCCACTGGGTTCCGTCTTCCCCGCCGCAATATTCTTTTCTCCATTGGTGCCTACAAGGAGAAGCTTGAGATGCTGCCCTCGATCAAGAAGCTCCACGATCTCGATTACAACCTGTTCGCCACTGCTGGTACCGCTGATTTCCTCAAGGAGAACGGTGTACCTGTCAAGTACCTTGAGCATCTTCCGGACCACGAGGAGGAGGACATGAAGTCTGAGTACTCTCTCACTCAGCACTTGTCCAACAACCTCATCGATCTGTACATCAACTTGCCGTCCAACAACCGTTTCCGTCGCCCGGCCAACTACATGTCTAAGGGTTACCGTACTCGTCGTATGGCTGTTGACTACCAGACTCCTCTGGTCACCAACGTCAAGAATGCGAAGATCCTGATTGAGGCTATTGCTCGCCACTTCCCTCTGAACATTATCCCCGCCGACTACCAGACTAGCCACCGCACCGTGGTCCTCCCCGGTCTGATCAACATTGCTGCATTCGTCCCGAATCTTGTTTCCGCTGGTTCCAACGATTTCGAAACCATTTCCAAGGCTTCGATTGCAGGCGGTTTCAGTATGATCCGTGTAATGCCAGTCGGCGTTGATAGCTCGGTCACCGAATCCCGTGATCTGAAGATTGTCCAGCAGAACGCCCACGGCAAGTCGCTCTGTGACTTCAACATCTCTGTTGCTGCCACCGCTACCAACTCGGACCAGATCATCCAGATGGCTGGTGAGGTTGGCTCTCTCTTCGTCCCCTTCAACCACCTGTCGGGCAATATCAACAAGGTGGCCACTGTCACCAACCACTTCAGCTCTTGGCCCTCGAGCAAGCCTCTGATCACTGATGCCAAGAGCACTGATCTTGCCTCGATTCTGTTGTTGGCCAGCCTTCACAGCCGTAACATTCATGTCATGAGTGTTACCTCCAAAGAGGATATCAGCCTTATTGCTCTGAGTAAAGAGAAGGGCCTGAAGGTGACTTGCGATGTTTCTATCTTCTGCCTATTCCTCTCCCGCGAGGATTTCCCGGCTTGCACCTCCTTGCCCACCGCCGAGGACCAGAAAGCTCTATGGGACCACATGAGCACCATCGATGTCTTCTCCATTGGCAGCATTCCCTTCCAGCTCGCTGGCAAGGAAGCCACACCCGAGTCCGGTATTGCTGAGTCTATCCCTCTGCTGTTCACTGCTGTCTCGGAGGGCCGCCTGACCATTGAGGACATCACCGCTCGTCTCTGCGACAATCCCAAGAAGATCTTTGAGCTGCACGACCAGGTCGACAGCTCGCTCGAGGTCGAGGTCGACCGTCCCTATGTTTTCCAGAACCCTCAGGCCTGGTCTCCGTTCAACGGCAAGACGATGCGTGGCTCCGTCCAGCGTGTTGTTTTCCAGGGCAAGACCTCCTGCCTCGATGGTGAGATCACCAAGGATGCCATCAAGGGTGCCGACATGTCCAGTCACCGCATCATCATCCCCACCTCGCCTGTGCAGAAGCCCATGACTCCCATGGTTCGTCCGGAGAGTTCCCTCGATAGACATGTGTCTGTCTCTGGCACTCCTGGTCGCCGCCTCCGGGCTCTGGACAACGCTGTACCGGCCATCGGCGAACTTGGTCCTCCCCTCTACGTCGCCTCCTCGCAGCTCTCCCCCTCGCTGGCCGACATGCTCTCCCGTTCTCCTTTCCGTGGAAAGCACATCCTGTCTGTGAACCAGTTCTCTCGCGCCGATCTGCACCTGCTGTTCACTGTCGCCCAGGAGATGCGTCTTGGTGTGCAGCGCCACGGTGTTCTTGACCTCCTGAAGGGCCGTGTCCTGACCACCCTCTTCTACGAGCCCTCCACCCGCACCTCGGCCTCATTCGATGCCGCCATGCAGCGCCTTGGTGGACGTACTATCGCTATCGCCACTGAGCACTCTTCTACCCAAAAGGGTGAGTCCCTTCAGGACACCATCCGCACTCTGGGATGCTACGGCGATGCTGTTGTCCTACGTCACCCCGAAGCGAGCAGCACCGAGATCGCGGCCAAATACTCTCAGGTCCCCGTCATCAACGGTGGCAACGGTGCCCTTGAGCATCCCACTCAGGCCTTCCTGGATTTGTTCACCATCCGCGAGGAGCTAGGCACTGTCACCGGCTTGACCATCACCTTCACTGGTGACCTCAAGTACGGCCGCCCGGTGCACTCCCTCATCAAGCTGCTCCAGTTCTACGATGTCCGCATCCAGCTTGTTGCCCCCAAGGCCCTCGCTCTCCCCGAGGAGATCCGCAAGCTGATTGTTGCTTCCGGCCAGTTGGTCGTCGAGTCTGAGGAGTTGACTCCTGAGATTGTTGCCAGCTCTGACATTCTGTACTCCACCCGTGTGCAGAAGGAGCGCTTCACTGACCTCTCCGAGTACGAGCGCCTCAAGAACACCTTCGTTATTGACAACGCCTTGCTCAAGCACGCTAAGAGCCACATGGTGGTCATGCACCCTCTTCCTCGCAACGCCGAGATTTCTGAGGAAGTCGACTTCGACCAGCGGGCTGCTTACTTCCGCCAGGTATGTTTTGAATTTCCCCTGCTTTCTTAGAACAATATACTAACTACAAATTCCAGATGCGCTACGGCCTCTACTGCCGCATGGCTCTCCTTGCTCTTATCTTGGCTCCATGATTATAAAACTCTTTTGCCATTATATTTATTTGGGAAAGGGAAATCCAAAAGCGCCCTGGATTCACGCGAGACATGTTTTTCCTTTTTGTTTGAAAAGTTTTGTTTTTGATACTCCGTAAGCATCGTGAATAAATCACGAGCTGTATAGATTAGATGAATCTCCGTTTCATTTGACGGTCCCGTTCAGTGTGTATATCTATATTTCTATGTATATTATGTGTGATGTGTGTTTTATGTGTTATGTGTTATGTGTGTGTGTTGTGTGTTTTGCGTGTTTTCCATTTTTGGGGTCATTTGGGGATATTTTGGGGTCATTGGGGTCACTCTGGGTTTTTTGGGTCATTTTGGGTCATTTTGGGTTATTTTGGAGGGGTTTTCTCTTTCTTGGCATTATCTGGGGCTTGGCACTTGGGGGCTTTTTGCATCTTATATACTTCGTACGGAGTATACTCTGACATTACGATTCATTAATTCATTAATTCATCTGAGAACTTCTTTTCACGTTTGAAATATCCAACGAGGATCCTTGTCTCCTTGGAATTCTTCCACATCACCCACATCTCCCATCAACGGGCTCAGTCCCTGGACTTCCCTAAGACGCTTCTTTTCAGTATTTTCCCGTCGGAGAAACTCCCATAGGATCCCAACTACTAGAATGTTGGCAACTAGATATCCCAAAGCAAACCCATGACCTAGGAAGTACCGTGGGCTGCTCTTAGTGCGGTATAACTGTGTTCCAAGGACGGCACCCAGATTGCCAATTGAGATCTGCATGGCGTTGGCAATGCAACGTTTGGTCTGGCCAGACACGTTATTGGCAGGCCAAGACAGCACAATGGCCACAGCTGGGTAAATCCCTGCCGCAGCGAAGATGGTTCCGACATAAGACACACCAGCACGGTGCTGTGATAGCAGCAGAATGTATCCGACGCATCCAATGGCAGATGATCCCATGATAAATGGAGCGCGACTCCTAGTCTTCTCAGAAGCAATCGCAACCCCAATAGTCATGAAGAACGCCACTGCGTACGGAGGCACGGAAAGCAGCTGGGCTTTTGCAGCTGAGTATCCGAGTTCTTTGATGATGGTTGGAAGGAAGAGCGATAAAGTATACAATGGCAAGGACATTGTGTGGAACCCAAGTCCATATAACCAGACTTTGGGATCTTTGAATGCATCCAGTACTGCTGACCAGGAAAATTCCTCGTCCCGAGTGGCATCGCTGTCATTCTTCAGACGCAATTGGACGAACTCCCGTTCCTCTTTTGATAGAAATTCAGCTGTTGATGGGTAGTTGTACACCCAGAAATACGCAACGATTGAAACGGCAATGGTCAACAGCCCTTCCTAATTGATTGTAAGGTTGTGTGGTCTACCAAGATGACATACTTGGGACCTACTAGAATGAAGATCCACCTCCAACCATTCAAGTTTCCCACTCCTTTCATATGAGAAATTGCCTAAAGCCCCGTCAGCTTTTGCTTGTCTATTGGGAGAAAAAAAAACCAACCCAAGCCAAGATGCCACCAAAGGCTCCTGCCAGCGATGCAGCACTGAAAAACAGAGCCACGCGATAATGCTGCTCGTTCCGCTTATACCACATCGACAGGTAAAAAACCACACCAGGGAACAAGCCGCTCTCTGCAACGCCCAAGAAGAATCTTGAAGACAAATATCCAGAGTAATTCTGTACCACTCCTAGGAGAGTAGCGACTACTCCCCAGACAAGAGTGAGAGTTGGAAGCCACATTCTCGGGGTGGTTTTCCTCAAGATGATCTGAATGCAGCTGTTTAGTATATAATCACTTAGACAGGGTATTTATATCAGCAGGCATCGCTCACATTGCAAGGAATCTCAAAAAGAACATAGCCGATAAAGTATAGAGTCAGACCTGTAAGATATTGGTCTCCCGCTATATCTCTCCCAATTAGCCCTCGCCAATTGGATGAAGACACACAAAACGTACACATGTTAATGTCCGTTGTCATTCCTTCTAGACGGGCATTTCCCACGTTGCTGCGATCCAAAAAGGAGAGTAAATAGAGTAACGTGAGGGGTGGCAAAAGACGATAGTCCAATTTCCGCAACAAGGCCTTCTCGTTGATTTCATTAATACTTGAAGAACCACTGGTATCGCTCTCGCCAGTGCGTACATCGTGTTTTTCTGAAGTAGCCATGCTGATTTAGAGAGGAATCAGTCTTGAATTAAGGCTATTGTACATGAAAAGAGGGGGGGGAATAGAGCGAAATATAATACTCGTAGCACACCATCCATTATCCCCCACCATAAAACATATTCCCTAGAGATAGCGAATAGGATCAGCGATGTAGATAAATTAAGTAGGGAATGAGCAATATTGGGGTTGAAATGACGAGACTGGATTTCACGCGAAGATCGACAAGCGGCATAAATACATTACTTTGCCACGAAATTGGCCATCTAGGTATGATGATTCTCTAGCTTATTAGCGTAATTAGATGTAAACTGATATTTAAAAGGATATCTAAAAGAACATATGGAATACGCATTTTTATACATATTTTAGCCTCTCTAAGGTCATCTTGAACTAACTGGATATTTAGATAAAAGTACTTTATACTGTTAGAAAATACTTCAAAGGAGAGTCGCTACCCATAAGTATAGGATGGACTATATGGTCTAGTCTATGTTCAATTTACAGTATTTCTCTCACACTGTATGTTCGTTAATTGACACAGGCATCTCTTACCATTCATCTATCAGTCTCATGCCTTATTCGGCCAGTACTTTTGTACAATGATTTTCTTGTTGACCTTGCCCATGGCATTGCGCTCGATCCCATCCACAACTTTTAGAATGGTTGGGATCTTATAAGGAGCCATCTCGTTCTTGAGCTCAGCGCGTAGGGTAGGAAGATCGAGCGGTGTAATCTATCTCATTGTTAGTCATACAAAGACTGTCCCCACTGTATGGGGACATGAAAACTTACCCCTTCTCGGAACTTGACAATTGCAGCAACTCGTTGGCCCCATTCTTGATCGGCCAATCCGACCACTGCAACTTCTTGAATTGCATGAATAGCCAGCATCTTGCGCTCAACTTCCAATGCCGAAACCTTGTATCCACCGGATTTGATCAGGTCGACAGAAGCACGGCCTTGGATGAAGTATGCACCGTTTGAATCGCGTTTGGCAACATCGCCGGTCTTGAACCATCCATCCGCTGTGAATTCCGAGGCTGTCGCTTCTGGTTTCCGCCAGTACTCGCAGAAGACATTCCCACCCTTGATCTCGATCATGCCGTCTTCATCTACTTCATCCACAATCCGACCAGTTTCTTTTTCGGTCAGTCGGACCTCAACGCCAGGCAGCGGCCACCCCACACTGCCATCGATTCGCTTTTGAATCTCCAGGCCACAACTAAGCGCCATGCCGATCTCGGTCATTCCATACCGCTCCAGCAGAACCTGGCCAGTAATTTCGGCGAATTTTTCTTTGATGGGGGTGGGAAGGGCCGCCGATCCACTGACGACCAGACGTAAAGCACGAGCTCCAGCCCGTGCAGCATCTTCTTGTTCTGTACCGCGGATATGAGCATCGAAGTAGTCATTCAGACGGGAGTAAATGGTTGGTACAGCCATGAACAAGGTCGAGGAGCCATGGTCCTGCCACCGCTCCCATATCACCTTCGGATCAAACTTCGGATGCATTTCTACCGTGGTACCGCTCAGAAAACTAGCAGCCAGGCCATTAATGATACCGTGGACGTGATGGAGCGGCAGCACGTGAACAAGACAGTCTGAGGGAGAGTACTCCCAGGCTTTGGCTAGACAGCTTGCTTGGAAAGTGATATTCTCGTGTGTCGTCACGCAGCCCTTGGGGTTTGATGTGGTTCCAGAAGTATAGATCATCAGGGCGCGGCGAGTGAGCGCAAATGGTGGGGAGAAAGAAGGCAAGGTTGGGGCATCATTTCGAGAGAATGGCTCCAGCCCCATGAATGGTGTATTGGCGGCGCATCCTTCGCGCAGCGACGGTGCGATCTTCTCGAAATGTGGGTGCACAATAATCAATGAGGGGTCCGAATCGCCGATGGTGTATAACAATTCCTTCACTGGGTGACTTGTGCCTAGTGAATGTCAGCATTAAATACAAGAGGTTTTGCAATGCTCGCTCTTTATCGTTTTCACCTACAAAGTGGAACGCAGACACCTCCCGCTGCCCACACGGCCCATTGCGTAGCAACGTAGTCATATCCATTCGGAACCAAGAAGGCAATGCGTCGTTCTTCCAAATCCCCTGCCAATCCCAATTGCTCAATTATGCGCTTTCTTAATGCTGCTGCATCAGCCAGCAATTGAACGAATGTGAAGGATTGTTGTTTGGTGGTGTCAATGACGGCGATCTTCCCGGGGTTCTGTGCATGCTGCTCCGCTGCAGCAAAGAGGGGCAGTGAAGGGATCGGCATATTTGACTTGGTTTGACCCTTTGACACTTTGACTCTCAAGATAAATCATATAATGTAGGCATATGAACCTGGAGGGGTAAAGGTGAAGAATTTCGGGAACATAAGATTCCCCTGTATTTAGCCGATTGCGGAGAAAACGCCCATGTCCACTTGTGGAGTATCAGAAAATACGAAAATACGAAAATAGAGATTATGTCCGGAGTGTGTAGTGTATAGTTAATACTAAAATACTACATGAATAGTATTAAAATCTATCTATATATATATATATCGATTACTGATAAGAGAGAAGAGAGAAGCCAACCTCCCAGCCCCCCTTAGAAAGAATCTGTGTCTATACTCCGTACAAATAAATAGTTGTGACAGCCTGCTAAATACGGCATATATACTCAACACTTCATATATTCACTAAAAGAAAGATAGCAATTAGATCCAAGTGAATTTTAAGTGATATTGTCTTATTTATATCTATAATTAAGATAATTAAGACGAATCATTGAATCAAACAAAAAGAACGTAGTGCTTAAATGAGCCTATTGCTCTGGTTGATATCAGCATTCTCCCATATAGTCTTCTTTCCGCCCTTCAAAGCTAGGTCAAGCATGGCTCTAGCTAAATTATCCAACCTTACCGATGGCCCAAGACTAAACACAAGACTCCGTAGGCTCATATCTTGCGCTAACACCATAGCTGGCCGCATGATATGAGCCTTGAAACCAGGATCATTGGCAATTTCCAAAAGTTCATTCTCGACTTGACCCTAATACTGGTCAGTGAAATTTCGATGGCTCCAGCAGAGGGATAATACCCGAATGTGCCGATATTTCTGCATAAACCAGAGCGACTTAGTCTGATCTCTCTCGGCGGCACCACCGCTACAATATATGAACCGGAATGGTTTCTGGCACGTCTCCCGAAAGACTTGCGCTGCTGCAAGAGTATAGTCTAGGCATACTCGTCGAGCGGTATCATTATTAGGCATATGAGCCTTGCCCAGTGTCCTATAGCATAGAAGATAAGTTAATATTGCTATATGTAGAGCCTTGGCAGTGTATTCATACCAGATACATGCCTCGGCATCTCGAATCTCATCCTGGATTGAGTCAGGGTACGTCATGAAATCCTCGATTAATGCGACTTTGAGCTTTTCATGTGCTGGTAGGTCTCGCCGGCTGAGCGCCACGATCGAGGTGATGGCAGGATGTGCAAGACATTGGGATAAGACTTCGCGGCCGATGAAGCCTGTTGAACCTGCGAGGATGACCTTCATTCATACGATAATGGTTTCAAGTTGACGGAGTGACACGCGAAAAAGAAAAGGGTTGATGGGGCGGCCGGGGATAGCATTTTATCTCCGTCTGTCTCTGTTTTGGCGTAAGATTACTCCGTATACGAGGACAACATAATTATTTGTTCTGCCCAAACATAAGACGTCTTGTTAGATGCAACGGCCATTCATAGGCGATAATCATACTGGATTCCAATTCAAGCTCGCTAATTGGACATCAAATATATCACAATAAATCAACTACAACACAGTCGCCGGGGATGGCGCTGGTACCAGCTCGCCCGGTTGAACGGTACGTGGTCCGTCAAACGATCCTTCACCATTCTCTTCCAGTCCACGAGCGACTAAGTCTGTGAAATCCACACCCACTTCCACCAAGAGAGCGACATGATCGTGCACAATATCGAGGCATTTCTGCCAAACCAATGTGCCACGCTGCACGCTGCTAAGCTGGCGGCTGAGCAGGGCATTGAACCCATCGAGGTGATGTTTAGCCCAGCGAATGCAAGAGCTGCTCATTACGCTAGGGAAGCATTGTTGATAAATACCAATAGTGTTCTTGATCAGGGTAAAATAGACATAGGAGATCTGGAAAATGTAAAGAGGTAGATCACCTTCGAAGATACAGGCCCTAGGAAATCAAGTCAGCATGCAAACATAAGCTTGTGTCATAGAGGACGAAGAACATACCGGATGCGTTGGCCGATCACGTCTGAACGTGCCTTCAGGTAAGTCTCACGCGCTTGATCTTCAAACCCTAACCGAGTTAACCAGGTAACATGAGTCTTGGTAGCCGCCGGGAATGAGTGTTTGTCGACCAGTGCCCGCGAGAGAATGCCAGCAAGTCGAGTCGCTCGTCCGTCGACCTTGAAATTGATGACGTCTTGCGCAATAGTATTGCCCTTAAGACCCTTAGCCAATTTCCGTAGTCGCTCGATGCTGAACACAGATGCCTCGAATCGCTGAAGCGCGATATCAATATCAAGCTCGTCCACCTGCCCTTCAACCCAACGGAGGTTTTGTTGTTTCCCATCCACGTCAATGCGCAGATCAGATTTATCTCTTGGGGTATCAGAGGGGTCGAAAGCCTCTGGCTTCTTCGGGGTGGGAAAGGTGCCGACCGGCCAGATATCCATATGCTTCCAAGGGCTTGCTGGCCGCTTCGGTCTCCGAGCGCATGGTTCGACGCAGATCTTCGACTGTTTTGCGGAAAGTTGCCAGAAGTTCCTGTTTCGCAGAAACTTCGTCATGGCGATATGTAAAGGGTTTAGACCCCACGCGGATGCTGATCGATCTCCCAATGCCCCGATCCAAAGCCTCTTCGCGCGCTTGTCCCGTTCCCAGATTGGCCCCCAGATCAATCATATCAATATCGTTAAGAAGCCAGCAATCTTCTGCCACCAGCCTCGTTGGAACAGGTCCTCGGTGGTTGGGATGACTTTGGTCGACCCGCTTACGCTTTTTCGCAGCCACGAGCAGGTAATCATTCAACAACACAATGTGAACGGGCCGTCTTGGTTTCCATGTGGCTGAGTCCAGCTCAACCCAGTTACCAGTTTCTAGGACAATGTGCCGTCCTGGTGCAGCTGGAAGCCACTTTTGCGACCCTTCCACTGTTTTCCACAACGTTTGTAGCTGTACGCTCCACATGCTCTCGAGGTTGGCGACCGAGCTGCGATTCGTATTGCGCTTGGGGAAAGAGTCCTCCATTGGGGACATGGGATTAGGTGAATTTCCTACGCTTGTTTGTCCGAGCGCCGTTGTCAGTTCCGCCATAAGGGTACGGAGGGTCCGCATTTCATCCTTGAGCTTCTCCGCCTCTTTACTGATCTTGATGAATTGGGTGCGATTCTGATAGACATTTTGCTGAAGATCGGTGGATGTTCGGTTCTTGACTTTGCGTAGGCTTTCTTGGTACTTTTGGATATCTTCCTCGGATGCATTGGCGAGAAGATTGGCCACATCTAACATCGGAAACTCCTGGTTAGCTCTAGCAAACAATACAGTGGCGGGCTAGGGAGCTCTAACATCGATCAACTGGAAGGCCGGGGTCTCTTAGAGCATTGAGGTCGACTTTCGGTGCAGGTGAGTTCGGGTCCGATGGTGATGGTTGTCTAGGAATAGCTGCCGGTGCTAATCCGCGCCCCCCGGGTACCTGAGTTGGAAGTGCCGGAACAGGAGGAGCATCGCCGTCAAATTCAGGTGCGGTATTGAATCGAGTCGAGTATCGCCGTTTCACCAAATCCGAGGTCGCATCGTTCTGGGGTGCCCGTTCACGTGTGGGGATTGCGGATGGGCCTGACTCGGGAGACCTAGTATTGGGAGGTAGAGGACTGGAGATGGGCTTGGGGGCGCTAATCTGAGGGCGCTGTCGACGAGACTTGCTCCTTAGAGTCAATCCTCGACCTTCCATGATGATTTCACTTGGCAATGCAGCAATAATCAAGGAACGGAAACGTCTCGGGAGGTCAAGGGGATGACGCTGCGGATATGCTTATATAATCCATAATAGACTCCGGCCCCGGGACCTCTGCCCTGGTGGACATCCTTGAAACATTTTTATCACCCCAACCACCCTCAACCACTACTGCCTCTCTAAGTCCTCCTACGCTACTAGACTGGGACAAATCCGATACTTCTAATTTGATCTCATCCCACATTTTCATCATGGCTTTCCGAAACACTGCCATCGTCGCCGGCACAATTCTGACGGGAGTTCTCGGTATGTAGCATTCGTCTCGCCGCGTTCTTCAATTTTTAACCCGTTGTAACAGCCTACGCCGTTTATTTCGATCACAAGCGTCAAAGCGATCCTAACTTCCGCAAGTCTTTGAAGAAGAACAACAAGAAGGTCGAACAAACCGCGAAACAGGAGGCAGAGGCCGGCGCCGCAGCCAGGATCGCAGATCTCAAGAATGCGCTCGAACAAGTGAAGAGGAACGGTGAACTTCCAACAGATCTCGAAGAGAAAGAGAGCTTCTTTATGAGCCAAGTCGCATTGGGCGAATCTCTTTGTGCTTCCGAAGGTAAATCGAATCCACTGTCTCGTCTTAACTCGATTCCAAAGGACGAGATCGATATATCTGCTACACACTGCAACCAAGAATAAACAGGTCGCTAATTACATCTCCAGGCTCCCAAGTCGAAGCAGCAATTGCCTTTTGGAAAGCATTGAAGGTCTACCCCCAGCCTCAGGTAAGTACAAGCCATTGTCGATGTCACTTATTTCATCATCTTTTTCATCATTCTAAATGCTATAATTACTCAGGATTTGATCGGAATTTACGATAAGACCGTCCCCAAGGAAACTCTCGAAATTCTCGCCGAACTTATCGCACTTGATGGTGGTCAATCTGCCGGGCCCAAGACTGGCACTGACGATAACATCGAATAGAGAGGATTGGACCTGACCTAACCTCTCAACAACTTGTATTTTAGACAGATGGAATTCTCAAATTTGTATCACATAATTTATATCGCGGAGAACTACCTAGGAATGTTGCCCAAGGGCTGTGGGGGAGGAGGAAAACAAAAAGAGTGTGGATGGGGGGAGGCTGCCATGTAAGTTGGAGGGATGGTGGCTTTTGCCAAATATTCCGATTAAATGGAACAGAAGAGATACCACCAATCTAACGATACCTCTTTCTATTTGGATTCTTTCCTTTATGAGGTATATACATATTTTTATCCTCTATATAGGAAGACCTCTATAGGCTGGACCATCGTTAGAAGAACCCATCTATCAACTTATCTTTTTCAAGGTTCTTTCGGGATCAAGGCTTGCAGATACAGAGTATAGCTACCTCCGCTGTGCTACGGTATGGTACAATCTATTGCCAAGGCATGCCTTGGTTCCAAGACTTTTTGAGTTAGATGAAGTTCAGGTCTATATGTCAGATTCATTCCAGTCTATAGGGAATGGTGATAGAGGGAGATATATATATGTTTAAACCCACTAATATACTATTAGAGAGTAAGTAGTAAGAGGTTACACATATAACCTTTGGAAGTATGAAGTGAATACTACATGTAGGAAGTTCCGAATTGGGCAGGTGGCTGTTTGACACCTGAAAAACAAGACCACTACGGAGTACTCCGTACTATGTGTTGTACTTGTCTCCGGAGCCCTAACCACAATAATATCACCAACTTTCTAATAACTGTAGAGGCTTTTGAGATTCATGTTGCCTATACCCCTGAATGTATCCCGTAACCTTTCAACACAGCCCAAATAGCCCAGATAGCCCAGATGTGGCGTCCAAGCAATCGTTATTGAAGGGTATCTTGGCCTTGGGGTGGAATTTCTTGGCCGAACTTGGCCCGGGAGGGAGTTTTGTGGGAGGAAAAGGGAGGGAAAGAAAAGAAAAGAGAAAAGAGACTCTTATCTTTCACTCTTTTTTTCTTCTTCTATAAATGTAATTTAACCTAGTATACGGAGTACGGGCTTTTGATTGCCCTACTACCTAGAGTAGTACTATATACGGAGTAGCAATATAGTGTGAAAACCCAAATGTGAAACCTCCAAGCCTCCAAACATCCCCCTATTATTTGTTCAGAGAACTGTTCTCCACTAAATTGAGATCAATTCTTACCATTAATATTATTTTAAGAATATATAACTCATTTTAAGACCATTTTAAGGCCTTTAAATCCTTTAAATCCTTTGATTCCCTTTCTTTCCTTTCTTTGGTTTCAAAGTCGTTCCTTAATAATTCGCGCTGTTGCGCTGTCACTCGTTTCACTTCGTTCACTTCTTACCCCCTCTATATTTTGCTGATTTTACATACCCTCACAATGATCGTATGTGTTGTTGTATTTCCTTCTATTATATCTATTATACCCCCCATAAGCTGACCTTTTTAGTCTTACACTCGTCTCTTCGCATCTGTGTGTGCGCTCGCCAGCACTGCGGCCGCTTTGAACCCAATCGAAGTCAGCGGCAAGGACTTTGTTGACTCGAAGACCAAAGATCGTTTCCAAATTATCGGTGTTGAGTAAGACTTTCATTGCCCCCCAGGGCTCTTTTGCCCCGCAATTATATTCAGTGGCTGATCCCCTCAATTAGTTACCAGCCTGGTGGATCGTCCGGCTTCACCACGAAGCTAGACCCTTTGAGCGATGCAGATGTCTGCCTGCGCGATGCTGCCCTCATGCAGCGCCTGGGTGTAGGTTCATATCTTATATTCTTTATCGTACAGCAACTTATTTCCATAGATCAACACCATCCGTGTCTACAACCTGGAACCCTCTCTCAATCACGACGAGTGCGCCTCGATCTTCAACGCCGCTGGTATCTACATGATTCTTGATGTCAGTAACCCTCTGGCAGGTGGTTATCTGGACCGTAGTGCCCCCTGGACCACCTACAGCGCCATCTACTACAAGCAGGTGTTCGGTGTTATCGAGGGTTTCAAGAACTACGACAACCTCCTGGGCTTCTTCGCTGGAAATGAGGTCATTAACGAGGATGCCACTTACATGGCTCCCAGGTACATGCGTGCCGTTGTTCGTGATATGAAGGATTACATCGCCAAGAACTCCAAGCGCGCCATTCCTGTTGGATACTCCGCTGCCGATATCCGTGACATCTTGATGGACACTGTTCACTACTTCGAGTGTGATCTCAAGAACTCGACCTCTTCCCGCGCCGACTTCTTCGGCCTCAACTCCTACTCTTGGTGCGGTGACGCCTCCTACAAGTCCAGTGGCTTCAATGTCCTAACTGAGGACTTCGCCAACGCTACTATCCCTGTTTTCTTCTCCGAGTACGGCTGTAACGATGTCAAGCCCCGTATCTTCACCGAGGTGCAGGCCATCTACGGCGAGGAGATGACCCAGGCTTTCTCCGGCGGTCTCGTTTACGAGTGGACCCAAGAGGATAATGAGTACGGCCTGGTCAAGGTAAACAACTCCAACACCGTGACCACTCTTATCGACTATGAGAACTTCCAGAAACAGCTCAGCAAGCTAGACATTGACCGCATCATGTCAAGCAATGCTTCGCAGACCAATGTTGAGGCTGAGGAGTGCAGTGTCTCACGAATCACTCACAAGTCCTTCTACAATGCCTGGGATCTGCCCGAGGTTCCTTCCAAGGTCTCTGACTACATTAAGAACGGTCTGCCCGATGCCCCCTCTGGCAAGTTGGTATCTGTCTCTGCCACCACTATCCCCCAGAAGGTGTATGACTCCACCGGCAAGGAGATTACCGGTATCAAGTTGGAGGTGAAGAGCGGTGCCAACACCCCCTCTTCTTCCGGATCGAGCACCTCCGGTTCTTCCTCCGGTTCTTCCTCCGGTTCTTCCTCCAGCTCCGGCACTTCGACCCCCACCAATGCCGCCTCTCTCAATGGCGCTCCCTCACTTGCCCTTGGTGGTGCAGGAGGCTTCTTCATGCTGCTTGCATCCCTTCTGTAATTGTCTTGATAGCTTTTGAGAATTGCATTATTGGGGTCCAGAGTTGGCATTGAGATGACAAAAAAGGCTGATATCGAGTCTTGGTGATCTATTCCCTGCATGGGTTACTCCTTTCTTCTTTGCCCTGCTTTCTTGTGATTTAGTTAATTTGCACATGATTCCTCTGGAACAATTCACGCACTTGGTTCTTCTTTTTGTGTTTTCAAGCGTCCAGCATCAAACTATCATATTTATATTGGGAAGGAGTTGCATATGTAGTGACCAAAATGCATCGTGGCAAGAAATCCCTTTACTTTCTGCTAGTGTATTTGTCACTAATATTATTATTTCTTCCTGTGTTATAAGTATCACATCTTGGAAGAACGATCGTCATATATTTTAGTGCTAATAGCCTTCCCCTGATCGACGCCTTTAGGCCTAATCCTCAAGACCTGCTTTAGACTCTTGGGAATCTCAACTATCGGGATAATTCCATATTGAAGCTTCCTAGGGCCCATTCCCACACAATTTATTTGAGATTTATATTTTGGTATACAACATATTGTTTTTTTCACCAAATGATATTTATACCATTTTATTGTTGATACTTTTGGATAGTAAGGGGGGATAACACCAGGGGGATAAAAGTCAACGAGCACATTGAGAAGTTTGAAGACATCAAGATGCATTCCCTCGCTTCCGTAAAGTCCATTTGTCGTGACGCCAGTGGCCCTATCAACGAGAACACTGTCTATCTTCGTATCGTACAAAAGATTCTCTGGAATAAGGGTGAAGCCTCAGACCCTGTGTCTCGATCTAGTGAAACCATCCAACTTACTCCTCCGGAGCTCAAAGCCTAACAAACCCTTACGGAAAGAAGATTCCCAAACGCACACAAGCGCTTAGCATGGCAGCAAGGAAGGTAGGAGACATCGGGGTCAGTTCTAGGATGATAGATCACCTGGATAGTTTTCGAAAGGGTAGAGGGCTTCGCTCTTGGGGGACGAGAACGGGGCTGATATATTCTGGGAACTGTCGCAAGATACCCAAACGACCATTCGCAGAGTGCTCCTCGAAGAATTGAAGTAAATTCCTTCGAGAGCTCTAGAGGAATGATGCTGATACATGACAGTGTCGCTGCAAGAATCGGAGTACTGCCCGCCGACCTAGACCAACACAGTGCAATATGGAACGAGAAGCAACTATGGATGTCGTATTTTCAGATAATTCGGACTTGGGCCTAGCCTTGGAATGTTTCCTAGTCGTTTCGTAGGCTTCCGAGGCCCCGAGTTCTTTAAAGCAAAATTTCCGATTGGTCCAGAGGTCTTCGAACTATCCGAGATGGATGAGCCTCCCTTAAAACTGGAGTCTGACTCCTATTTTTGATGTTACAGCATGGGGAAGCCCGGAAAGCCTGAGAAGACTCGGATGAATGAATTTACAGCATCCTGTCTTCTCTTTTCCCCTTATTTTGCCTGGCACTGTTACTCGCCAATCAAATGACACCCAAGGAATGTTTCGATTGATACAAATGCAAACACTTGAAAATATTAATAGATCCTCTGGAAAATAACACACAAACATAAGAAATGCAAAATGCAAAACTCGAAATTGACTCTAAACAGCTCTCGCTTTCCCCTTCCCCTTGCCTGACGGCGAGGGAGGTATTGACCCCAGTGCGAGGGATGGGAATTCCTCCCACTCCTCCTCACCATCCTCGCGACTCTTGCCCTCAGCCAAGCTTAGTTGAATCGCAAACTCCAGATCATCCATCTCTTGCTGTCTACTGCTCTCAGCCTCCTCGGCTCCAGGCGATGGCTGTCGAGGCGGATATACTCCCTTGGCATACTTGATAGGGATAGACGACATTTGGTCAAATGGCAGGGTAGCAAATTGTTCATCAAGCAGGCTGAGGCGAATTGCTTCGGCAAGTTCATCATCATCGTTATCGTCCGCGGGATCTTGATGGGGAGACGAAGAGGATGAGACCTCGCCAAGGCCAAACGAACTAGGACCAACAGTGTCGAATGAAGCGCTTGTGGCCGAGCTGGAGACTGTGATGCTATCCTTGGGTTTCGCCGAATCGCCAGAGCACGCCTCCGCGCTTAAAAGTTGGGCATACGCCAAAAGCTGTTCCTCGTCTATATCTGGACCAAGAAGATCAACTCCGAAACGTGCACTCAAATGTGCTCGTTCTTTCTCATCCGCAATCTTTTGGCGCTCCATATCTATGCGTTCGTCTTCAATAAAGTCCTCGATTGCACCCCGACCACTATTATTGAAGCGTTGGCCTTCAGTAGCCCCGTTGTTGCCACGGAGTAAGTAGCGAAGGCGGCGCTTGCTGGTCTTGTACTGATCGGCCTCGGAAGAACTGTAAGACCAGTATCGCAAGTGGGTGCCAAGTGAGACCATTCCACGCAGAACGGTCGGGTCTGTATCAAGGCAGATAGCGCCCGTGGCGTAGTAATTGTTTCCAACACCTAGAATAGATGCCTCAGCCTGCACAAGCCGACGACGGGCTCTGGTTGAAAAACGGGAGTTGATCGTCCGGATTGGCTTGGTGGACGATGCTAGCGGATCCCAGGCCTGCACGAGGCCATCATTACCTCCATGAACGAGGTACAGCGACGTGATAGCTAAGGAAGACACCTGAGGCGAGTCTGTTTGGATGATGCGCAACGAGGAGATGGAATTGGTGATATCTGCAGACTTCGCCGCCGGGGCTCGGATATCCCAGACAAAAACCATTCCAGTGCGGGTTCCAACAGCTAGGTATCGAGCGCGTTGCCCAGGAACTTCCAGGCCGGACCGCGGCTGATCCATATGTGGTAACATTGGGGAGGATGTTGCAGACGAAGTAGAGCTCCCAGACATAGCCAAAAGAGGGTCCTCCTCGCATGTGAGAGTCGCGAAAGTGGATGCATCCAACGCGCTAGTGGTAACTTCCGTAGATTTGCGATCACCAAAAACAAAGTCCGACAGACGCCATCCTGAGTTGGTCGAAGGTGAGCTTACCGGTCCAGAGGATCGAGAATGGGGAAGACTGCTAGTGACGGTTGGACTTGGTATGTTCACCGGGCCGCCGAATAGTGATGGCGGAGTTTCCGTTGTATCCAATAAGGGCTCTGGTGTGGCCGAGCCGGAATCAGACCGAGAAGCAGTGCGCATGAACCGCCGGATCGATGCCTTTGGATCTTCGCCCGAGCCGCGAGCGATGATAATGACCGACTCGCCTGCCCCATACCCATCATCGCCAGCGAAGTCCACCTTAAGATCACGTTGCATGTCCCAACTTTCACAGAATTTGCGGAAGTGTTTGGGCTTGAAAGAGATGAAATTTTCAATCTCCTTCGTTTCAGCAGCAATCTGGTGCTCATTGAGGCCCATGAAATCCGATGATGATCGTGGACTATAGCTTCCGTCGACTAGTTCCCGATTAAAGGGATCTGGACGTGCCACACGCCTGCTCGCTTCGACCATCTCCCAATGCGCGCTTCTGCCAGTCTTCCAAGCCACCTCGTCAAGCTGCTCGGTGTTGAGTTTGGTTGTAAGTGGGATCTCAGGTGCCCGAAGAAGTTCAGTGAGGTAGAAGATTTCTCCTAGGGCATTAAGAGCAACAGCCCAAATTCGTTTTCCTGAATGGCGCTTGGGTGAATACTGATCGTCCACGGCAATGCCAATAATAGGAACACCAGGGCACAGAACCCATCTAGCAGTCACTTGACCTTGCTCGTATCGCCTTTCGTAAGTCGGGTGAGGGCCGAGAGAATATGCAGTCAACACACCCGAAGACGATCCAGACAGTATCCCCACCAGCCCCTGGGTCATCTTGAGGATGTGAGGGGATTTGGCAATCCACACTGAACAGACAGCATGTGTGATCATGTTCACGGCGGGGATGCCGAGTACTGGGCGAGAACCCGAATCTGGAGCTCGCAAGAAACGACCACGCTGCTCCGTCGATGAGATGAAATAACTGCGCCCCTGGGGACAGCCTTCGCCATAAACCATGCCATATGGTTGACTGACGTCCATCACGTTGGGCAAACCGACCATATCACCCGATCCGAGGCCGTATTGCGCTTCACCAGGAAACATATCTGCAAAGTGGTGGAACATTTGGTGGTCGGAGACACCCCAGGTGCCGACTTTTACAGTCGATGGGTCACTGGCAGACGCAATCCCCTGCTCTGCGGCTCCATGAATGAAGAGGGGGTTCTTGTTGGGCCTGAAAGAAGCATGTATGTGACTGACCGGGAAGAGGAGCTGAGATGTATACGTAGCGATGGCACTACCGTGGCGAGCACTCGCCGCGCGTACAGTTCCATTCTTCTTGGGCGGGTCGAAGTGCGCCGGTCTGCCCCGGGCTAACGAGTGCATCAAGCGAGTGCGCAAGATATATTCGCTGCGCCAGGAGGCTAGCGCGGTCAGCCTCGCGAAGAATCGCCTGTCCGACCGTAGGTCTGCTGCTTCGGTGTTGGTCTGTCGATCATCCTCAACAGCATGGGGCCCGGGGAAAAATCGCGAGAAGGCGATTCTCCAAGCATGAGGAGTAGTCACCAGCGCATGAAATCGACGAGACACTAGGGTTATGGCTGATATGGATTGTGGGGGTAGATGCGATAGGATATGGGTGAGAACCTCTGGAGATTACGGTTGTTAGGAATAATTGCGCTGCTGGATTGTAGGACACCTACCATTTGGAAGTGTCTCAAGAGATGCTTGCGACTGTCCAATAAAAGCCACAAAGCAAAATCCAGCATTTGCTGCTTTTCTGGGGGGAGTGCGAGCATTCTCATGCTGGCTCACTCGATGGACTCGATGGGGCGAGGGCGGGGCAGGGCCGACCTTGTTCAAGGACCCATCGGATTCGTCTTGTGTCGACATACTCGGGACGTCTGCAGAGTCTCTGATCTCCTCTCGCTCGAGGAAATCAGAGACTTGAGCGTCGTCGAGGTCATGTCCATGCTGGGTAGGACTGATTATGACTGAGTATGAGTCAATGGGGGGCGTATGTTGAGACACGGCAGTAGGCTCTGGTTGCATAAAAAGGTCTTGACGGAAAGAGGAGGTGGTAGCGACTGAGCCAGCGAAAAAGCCTGGGTCAGTCAAGATATGCTTGGACGAAGAGGAATTGTATGAAAGCGAGGTGGTTTTCAGGAGAGAGAGAGAAATGGGAGAGAGCAAAAGATACCCGAAGGCGAGGCAAAGTGGCCATCCCGCACATTAAATGCGGCTCTGTTCCACTTTGGATATTACTGGGGTTATATCCCTTACATTGAAAAGTTGTCGTTTTTATCTTAATAGTTATAAAACCGAGAAGGGAAAATACATACAAAAAGACATCTAAAAAGAGTATCTGAAGAGACTACTAAAAAAAAAAACTATGCATATGTACTAATGTACAGGTGTATGTACGACAAAAAGACATGGAAGACTGTACAAGTGGTCAACTATTCTTGTATGATGTACTTCGTATATAAAATATCAATTGTTTTATTTCCATTTAAAAATCATCTTATTAACCATTATCATAGTCGTTTCTTAAAGAAAAGAAGATTTCCCCTGCATTTTCTCCCATAGTGAAGTTTATACTGAATGGCCGCTACCCAGAACGCGTTCAGCACGTGACAGCGTGACAGAAGCCAACCAGCAAGCCATCACCAACTCTCTCAGCACGACGTGGTTGCGAAAGTGGTGTGATTCTCCTGAAATGGCTCATTGATACACGGCATTTTCCCAGCAATTTCCCCTCCGTGCCTCACCAAACCCGGTTACTCACATAAACGTCAGCGCTGGATGAGACACGCGAGTTCAGTTGACCAAAATGCCTGGAGCAAATGGTGGGACACTCTCTATATTGAAAGGCTCAGATTACTGATATCTTTATAGATCCGGAAACTATTCGCATTCTCATCGCCACTGATAATCATGTCGGCTACAACGAGCGAGATCCCATCCGTGGGGACGACAGCTGGAAGACCTTCCACGAAATAATGTGCCTAGCTAAGGAACGGGATGTCGATATGGTTCTCCTAGCTGGAGATCTGTTTCACGAGAATAAGCCGTCGCGAAAATCCATGTACCAGGTGATGCGGTCGATTCGCATGAACTGCTTCGGGGACAAACCGTGTGAGTTGGAGATGCTCAGCGATGCAAGTGAGAACTTCCAGGGGGCGTTTAATCATGTCAACTATGAGGACCTGGATATGAACGTGGCGATTCCTATCTTCTCCATCCACGGGAATCATGACGATCCCTCGGGAGAGGGTCATCTGGCCGCACTAGATCTACTCCAAGTGTCCGGCCTTCTCAACTACTATGGCCGGACTCCAGAGTCAGACAACATTCAAATTAAGCCTGTCTTGTTACAGAAAGGCCGAACTAAGCTTGCGCTGTACGGAATGAGCAACGTTCGAGATGAGCGACTGTTCCGCACTTTTCGCGATGGCAAGGTTAAATTCTTCCAACCGTCTGTTCAGAAAAGTGACTGGTTTAATTTAATGTCTGTGCATCAAAACCATCATGCCCATACAGAAACCAGTTATCTGCCGGAGAACTTTCTTCCCGAATTTCTCGATTTGGTCGTCTGGGGCCACGAACATGAATGCCTGATTGATCCTAAGCTCAATCCAGAGACTAAATTCCATGTTATGCAGCCAGGATCGTCTGTCGCAACGTCCTTGGTACCCGGGGAGGCTGTTCCGAAACAGGTCTCGATTTTAAGCGTAACAGGCCGCGAATTTAAAAATGAACCTATCCGATTGAAGACGGTACGGCCGTTTGTGATGCGGGAAATTGTATTATCTGAAGAAAAGGGCGCCCAAAAGCTTGCACGCAAGGAGAACAACCGCACAGAAGTAACTCGGTTCCTCATGTCCATTGTCGAAGAACTGATCGAAGAAGCCAATGCAGAATGGCTGGAGATGCAAGCTGATCGCATTGATGAGGACGAGGATGACACACCAGAGGCACCGCTTCCTCTCGTTCGCCTCCGTGTGGAGACTTCCACCCCTGAAGGAGGCAGCTACGATTGTGAGAACCCACAGCGATTCTCCAACCGCTTCATTGGTAAGGTCGCTAACGTGAACGATGTGGTGCAATTCTACCGGAAGAAAAAAACCGCTTCTAGTTCGCGCAAGGATGATAAATCCATTGATGAAGGTGCCGTTTCTCATCTATCAGCCCTTGACACCGTGAAAGTCGAACAGCTAGTGCGCGAGTTCCTCTCATCACAGTCATTAAGCATTCTACCACAGAATTCTTTCGGGGATGCTGTTGCCCAATTCATTGACAAGGATGACAAGCATGCAATGGAGATGTTTGTCAACGAATCCCTCGAGAGCCAGGTCAAACACTTGTTGGCCTTGGATCGTGACGCTGATGAGATGGATGACGAAGAAAGAGAACAAAGCTCGTTAGTCACTGCTATGGAGAAGTATCGCGGTCAGATGGAAACCATGTTTTCAAAGGGCATAAAAAAGCGAACTCGCGGAAAGAAGCGCTTTAAGCCTAAGCCAGATGGTTGGGATTCCGAGTTTGATGGCGTGTGGGAAGACCAGCCTGGTGCACTTATTCATTCTGATAATGAAGGTGGTGATCCAGCGGAAGAAGAAGCTGGAGAAGATGGGACAGTCCCCGGTCATGGTCGTGCCGCAGCCTCTACTCGAGGTCGCGGTAAGGGTAGGGGTCGTGGTCGAGGTGTAGTGATCGGCCCGCGAACCGTAAAGTCCAAAGCTATCCCAGAACAAAAGACTACGAAGGGTCGCAAGAAGCAAGCAGTTTCAGACGAAGAGTCAGATGTGATTATGCTGGATGACGATGACGACGATGTTATAGCCAATGTCATTTCTGATGATGACGATGATGATTCGCAGGCACTGTTTGTCAAGCAGCCTCGCTCTACTACTACCGTGAAGTCACGAAAAGCTGCCTCTACGACAACGACGACTCAGCGCCGCGGTGGACGTGTTACTGCCTCGCCAGCTCCGTCATCGATTACTGTCGGTGGGACTGCCTCTCGGCGAGCCCCTGCGCGCGGTAAGCCAGCTCAGTCCACGCTCAACTTCTCCGCTTCACAGACCAGTGCACCTCAGTCCTCACGGCCTAGCCGCTCCACCCGCAACATAAGTGTTATCAGCGATGGTATTGATGATGATGATGATGACGATGACGATGACGCTTTTGAAGAAATGCCGACCAACTCGAGGCGTCGTAAGTAATTTGCGATTTACATCCATGGATGTTTATGCTTTTATACATGTATGGAGTTATCGAAAACCACTCGGGCGTTAATATCAGCATTGTTGCTTTCAATCATTCAATCATATCTTCGGAATACATGTATGGTTCGCAACTATCAGATATAGTAATAAATAATGAAAAACCAACAGGGGCAGTACTTGGGGCTGTAGCATTTTGAGACGAGGTATACCAAACAAGCTAGTCCCAACATAGTAAGTATGTAGTTTATATTGTAGAGCACCTTGGCAATTTTGCCTACCACTCGGACCCAGAGGCTTTATGCGCTGATGCCTGAACGAGATCTCCCTCGAGTGGCAAATGTGGCCGTACTTCGTGATAAAGACCAGAAACTATGTAGCTCTCGTTTGTTCTATCAACCCCGCATTCTCAGCCGAGGGACACAAACCACCTCGGGCGTGCAGTGCAAACGTGAGGGAACCCACTAGGCTCAGTCTTCTATTGCCTGATATCCTATTACCTCTGTGTACAAGGACACAAGAAAATACATACTGATTAAAGCACAATGACATACAAGGGCCGACCCATTCGCATTGCAGGTTAGTTTGGCTGCACTCATGATGTACTCCAACTGATCTCCTAGGTGCCTCGGGCTCTGCCTCAGACCGGCGTCGGGCTATTGCTGATTTTGCGCGCCACCACCCGACCGATCCTATTGATGTTATCATTGCTGATTTCATGAGCGAGTTTAACATGACCACTGCCGCAGGTCGGCGAGTGGACCAAGCAATCTCTCAAGAAGCAACAGCCCCAGCCTACGAACCCTCTTTCCTGGAAGCACTTGAGCCAGCTCTGGATGATTTGGCCAAGTATGGAATCAAGCTCGCAGTCAATGCCGGAGTGACAGACACAAAGGGTCTTTACGAGGTGGTGATGCATATGATTGAGGCAAAGAAGCTAGACTTAAAGGTCAGTCAGTGCTTTGCCCGATACTGATCAACAATTGCTCATTTTGAGCGCCCAGGTTGCATGGGTTGCTGGGGATGAGGTGCTATCTACCGTCCAGAAGGGATTAGCTTCCGGGTCTGAATTTCGCAACGTCTACACAGGCGAGCGATTGGCAGATTGGTCATTCGAGCCTATCTATGCCCAGTGTTATCTCGGTGGCCTCGGTATCGCGGCTGCACTTGTAGATGGTGCGGACATTGTATTGTGTGGGCGGGTCTCGGATGCTTCACCTGTCATCGGAGCTGCTTACTGGTACCATGGCTGGCAGCGAGATGAGCTTAACAAGCTGGCGAATGCGTTTGTTGCAGGCCATCTGATCGAGTGCAGTAGCTATGTCTGTGGTGGCAACTTCACAGGCTTCAAAGCCCTGGAGCACGCAGATGGAGATGGCTGGACCGATATCGGATATCCCATCGCTGAGATATCTGCCGAAGGCGATGTTGTAATCACTAAGCAGGCGCATGCCACCGGCGGTGCGGTAACTGTCGATACTTGCACGTCCCAACTGCTCTATGAAATACAGGGACCTTGGTACTATAACTCTGATGTCACAGCGGTCCTCGATGGTATACACTTCTCGCAACGCGGCGTCAATCGTGTTGCTGTTCATGGGGTTCGATCCGGTCCTCCTCCGCCCACCACCAAGGTCGGTATCACTGCACGAGGTGGGTTCCAGGCAGAGGCATGGTGGTTTTTGACCGGTCTGGATATCGAAGCCAAAGCTCGCATGCTGGAAGCACAGATCCGCCAATTGCTGTCACCCTATTCGGACAGATATACATCGCTCAATTTCGATTTATTGGGCTCTTCCCTCTCTGACCCGCACGACCAGAACC